ATTAAAAAATAAAGTACTTAGAAATAAATTTATTGCAGGTTTTAATGTCTCCAAAACCTGAAAATTATAAAACACTGATGAAAGAAATTGAGAATGCAGAGATAAATGGGAAGTTAACCTGTATTCATGGCTTGTAAGAATCAGCAATTTCAGAGATTCACTGTGGCAAAAGGCTTAGATCTAAGATGTGCCTCCAAACTAAATGCCCACAGTTTACAGAGACAAAAGCTCTAAACCCATAAGCATCAAATCAGAGAACCTTAAATGTCTAAAGGCACCTTGAACAATACATAGTCACACCAGTATTTCAGATTCATAATTAGAGGCATTAAAACACCAGATTTCAAAAACTGTTACAAAGCTAGAGTATACAAAATAATAGTATATACTGGCATAAAGAAAAAATTACATTAGGAATGCAATGGGACAGAGAACTATAAACCCACAGACTGGACATCAGTCAACCTTGGCCAAATGCATCAAAAGCCCACACTGAGAAAGCATCACTGGGAAACCTTCAATAAGCATCACTAGAAAACTGAGTAACCACATACAAAAGGGAAAATGGACTTAAGTGGAAACATAACATTTGATCCTTAAAAATACAATGAAAACATAAAGGAAAACTCCTTGGTATTGGTCTGAACAATAATTTTTTTTGACAAGACTAAAACACTACTCCACCACAAATTAGACAACTCTCAAAATACAGAAGTAACCTGTAGAAGAAACAACTCCATTACAAATTAGACAACTCTTAGACCACAGAAGAAACCTGTAGAATAGAAGAAACAGTTTGTAACCCATGCATCTGTTAGGTGTTAATCTTTTTAAAACTGATCTTGAATTACTTAACAGAAAGAAAGTAAATAACTTGATTTAAAAATGGACAAAAGAGTGGATAAGTCAGAGGGGATGGAGAACACCATGGAAACAAGGTCTTCTAAACACAGCAGGACTGACACATATATGAATTCACAGTCTGTGGCAGCATGCATACATCAGACCTGCACAGGTCTTCACCAGACAGAGTCCTAGCACAGAAAGGAGAAGTGGACAAATGCCCCCAACCCTAACCCAGACGCTATCTCCAGTTGATAACCACTTGCAAATGAAAACTTAGTTTTCTCCAAGGGAGCCTAACTGGAGAAACTCATTCTTATGTGTAGACCCCATGCCCAACAGCAAATGGCCAACACGAAACAAACTCAATGGCATCTTTAGAGGTATTTGACTCATAATATAGTGTAAGGGCATTCTTTATTTGTGGGGTGGGGGTGTTCAAGAAAGGGTTTCTCTGTGGCTTTAAGGCTGTCCTGGAACTAGCTCTTGTAGACTAGGCTAGTCTCAAACTCAGAGAGATCCACCTGCCTCTGCCTCTTGAGTGCAGGGATTAAAAGCATGCACCACCATCGCCTGGCCTTAGGGCACTCTTTTTTGTTACAAGGACTTTGCATATATATTATGGCTTCTTGTTTGGGGGAAGGAGGAATTACTGTGTGTGCAAATGTGTGTGTCTCTGTGTCCATACATATTTATCATGCTTTCTTTGGCTCTTTTCCTTCTATCTGTTTTTGTTTTATTTATTTTATTATTATTCCTTATCTCCATGTTTCTTTTCTAAGGATAGACAGAGAGGGTGGAAATGTGGATGGGAAGAGAAGTGGGGAAGAACTGGGGGATTTGGAGTAGGGAAAGCAATATTCAGAATATATTGTATGAAAAAGATCTATTTCAACAAAGGGAAAAAATGAACAAAAGGAGCTATACAGTTGGCTCATTGTGTAACATGATTGATGCACTAAAATGGGGTCCTGAATTTAGATCTCTAATACCCACATGAAAAAAACAGGCATGGCAGACCATATCTGTAAACCCAACACTGGGAAATAGAGACAGGTAGATCCTGGAAGAATTGACTTAGAAAGATATACTGGTCTCAACCTATGGTCTCTATACATACCTATACAACAAGTACATTTGCATACTCTCCACACACACACACACACACACACACACACACACACACAAACCACAGATACACTACATATACCATATAAACATATATACCATACACACAAACTCATACGCATATACACATGCAGAGCGCACAGATATATCATGTACACACAAAACATACACACACAGAGAGAGAGAGAGAAAGAGAGAGAGAGAGAGATGCGCATTCAGTGAATTAAATATCTAGATAGACATTTATCAAAGAAGACATATAAATGGCCAAAGGGTACTCGAAAACCATTCATCACTAACCATTAAGAAATTGCAATTCAAAACCACAATGACATATGGCCTTATACCACTAGACTGGTCATCTAAAAAACTACAGATGGCAAGCATTGTGAAGATGTAAAGGACGGAGAAACCTCAGCTCCAGCTGCTAAGAATGTAACTGATTGACTCATTATCAAAACAGAATGCAAGTTTCTCAAATACTAAAATCACAACTACCATATAGTCTGGCAATCATGCTCCTAAGTATAATGAAAGAAACCACTTACAATAGTCAAGTTACGCAAGCAAGCAAAAGAATAATCAGCAGTTTAATGGGTAAATGCTATTCAGCCTTCAAAGGGTCTTTATAGAGAAGGAAATCTTTTTATTTGCCATAGCATGGATAAACATTAAGGACATCCTACATGGAAACTAAGCCATATGCAAGAAGGTATGTGCTTTGTGATCTCTCTTCTATGTGGAACCTATTCTAAAAGCATCATGCCCCTAGAAACAGGTTAGAATTGTAGTTACCAATGGCTAGGAGGTGGAAAGATGTGGCCAGATGGTAGTCATAAGACATAAAGCTTCATTTGGGGGAATGCCCTAGAAACCTAATATGCAACACAGGTGTTACAGTTAATAGTGTGTCGTTGTATACCTTAACTGTCATCACAGTAAGAGAAAAAGTCGTGTAAGGTGTTGATTCTGTTAATTATCTTGATTTCTTCAGTCATTTCAGGATATACTTATACTTACTAAAACATTGTGCTACATTCCGTAAATACAATTTTCTTTAGTTGGTTGCACCTAATTAAAATTGGAGCAAATCTCACCTGAGGTGTCTGAAACCATATCTCTCCATTGATATTGAAAATAGGTAGAATACAAAAGAAGAGCAGGAATGTCTTAGAGATGAATTTAACAAATAACAGGGTAAAGAAACGAAAGAAAGCTTAGTTCTAGAGGAGAAAACACAAACAAGAGAAAAAGGAGGGAGGAAGAAAATGTGCCTGTTCTCTCATCTCCCAGGAAGCAATGAGACAAATACCCTCAGAAAGCATGCTGGGTAAATCCAAGGTCAGTCAACCTCTCTTTCCCCAGTGTTTCTGGTCCTGGGGATCATGGCCATCAAGAGATTAGCAAGGTGGTTAACCCACTTCTATGAGCCAGACTGGCCAAATCCGTCTTATTCCAAGTTTATTGAACATTACACAATCATTATTTCTTAAAAATAAACCAAAAGGGGTCGCTGACAATCTGCTAAAAAATAAGTAAGTGCTTGTTTCTCTTCACCAAGATAATTTTGATTAGAATCAGAAAGATGAAATAAAATATTTCAAATTTCATTACAAATAAATTTGATTTTATTTAAACTGTGGGTATTCTTAGCATCAAGAAATATGGCCACAATTACTGGCATTTATTTGAGTATTCCTTGAATTATTATAGATATTAAAAATGTCATTGCTAATCTGGGCTTCATCAGCTTTCTGATGAAGTAGTAGAATTCCCTTATTACATATGAAAGGGTCTTAGGCACTGAACACAAGATTTCATACCTAGCGAATGACCCAGTATAATATGAAGAGGATCAAACATTTTAATCCCAAACCCACTGGGTTTTATCTCAAATTCTGACTTCAATTTCTGTGTTTATGGCTTCATTTTTATACTAGAATATCTTAAGAACCTACAGTACCCATATGGGAAATATCTGCAAATGTCTCATTTTGTAACATTGGTAAATTTCTGCTTTAGAATATTAAAATAAGGATTGGTATTTTTTAAAGGTACAAAACAAGCCCAAGTTGACATAAAGTGTTTTTAATGACCCATTTGTGATTTATATTGCAAATTTTAAATGCAAGCTAAGTGGGAAATAAATGAGACATGATTCCCAGCCTTCCTATATCCAAAGCAACAAATTCTTCCACTAACTTTAGTATTGCATAATTCAATCTACACATCAGAGGAAGCTGTGTGTTGGAAATGGCAAGGGAAGTGACAGTTCAGATAGATGTGTGTAGGGTCATCCAGGTAACTCCAACAGGCTACAGGAAAATGATGCTCACTTCCCCGCTGTGAATTCTGCATTCCTCATTGTAAAATCAAGAAATAGTTTTAAGCTGATGTTCTGTTGATGGCCTTCTTTTTATATTTGTCCTTTAGTACATGATCATGTATTTTTCTGGTAAGAGACTCCATTTTTATACCTAGAATATGTCACTAGAGCCCTTTATTTATCCAGAAGCCAATTTAAAATTCTAGAAATGTAAGAGTCACCATATGAAACCATGATCTGTGTTTGGTATGTACTTTAAGTCTCTCAGTTTTCAAAAGCATATATTTGGTAAGGAATTGATATTTGATATGCAAATATGTCATATAATAAGAGATTGGATCATTACAAAGAAATCAAATAAAAGATCTTCTTTCTGGAAATTTAGGAATTAGACAGAGAAACAAATTGCTATTTCCACAAAGAGGAATTCCAGACCCATCATCCATATGAAAGCAGCCATTCTTTCTGAAATGTCACCAATTCTTCAGCACTTACTGTACTGTTCACTTCTGTAGCTTTCTTTCAGAAATTCAAACAATCAAGGATATTGTACAATGTGCATGACATTTTCCATAGCATGTCAAAATAAGAGCCCTATAAAAGTGCAATCCTTCCCCCCAGTGCGCATCCAATGGCTGCTTTCTGATACCTGTAAGGAATCTTGGTGTACTTGGTTTATCATTGTACAAATCAGCAGCCTTACCTTGCCCAGCTGGTCCTTCTTGACGAAACCAGTGGCAGCAGCAATGTTCCCTGCTCCCTCCACTGTCTTCTGGGCAACTGCTGTCACACCAGTCACCACTGCCCCTCCAACATTTGTCACTTGCTCTTTGGTCTTCTCAGCCACTTAAGAAAATCAAGAGCAACAACATTAAAAGATAGTGGTGTGGCAGACCTTAATTCTGCTTCCAATAGCTGTCAACTTCTACATACACCCATGCCATAGATAGCAAGAGTCTGAAGAAACAAGACACCAAGGGAGAACCAACAGGGTGCAGCCAAACACTGGGTCTGTGTTACAATTATGTATAGACTAGAAAATCTTGAGAGTTTAGTTATAACACAATGCAAACAAGATTTGGTTTGCCTTGAGGCACATAGACAGAAAACAAGGCACTAGGTACAGTATTAAGTTGTCAGACTCTTTGAGCACTATTTCAGTTTCGATGCCAACTATTTGATCTCATTTACAAAGTTCACTTCCATTATCTGCTCAAAGTACATGCCTCTCCCACATCTAGATTCACTGTTTTCTATGTACAAAATTCAAAATGTTCCTAAATCTTTCACTTTCACGTACCACCAATTCGTACCACCAGCAGAAAATTTCAACCATAAACTTTGTTGCATGTTCAGAATTATTCTAAAATAGAATATGAAATTGCCCTCAGATAATATGTACAGGTATATATAGTATAAGTGAATTTCATGTTTAGACTTGCGTCCTATTACCAAGACAACTCATTATAAGTGTGCATTTATCCCCAAATCAAAAATAATTGAAATCTAAAGCAAGTGTTCCTTAAGCACCTCTGATAAGGAGGCCCTATGTGTTCAAACATGCTCCTAGAATGATTTGGAAATAGGTGATAGAAAAAGACATGGTAAAGAAAAAGATAGTTATTTTAAAAGATTATTTTTAATTATGTGTACTTGTGTCTCTTGGGGCAGTTATGTGCACATGTGTGCAGGTGCACAAGGATGCCAGATAGTGTTGTCAGATCCCCTGGGGCTGGAATTACGGGACAATGAAGGTCTCCCAGCATGGGTGCTGAGAACATAATTCTGATCCTATGGAAGAGGAGCAAGTGTTCTTCACACTGAGCTATCCCTCCAGCCAAACAAAAATGTTAAGACAAAATTTCAGTTAATGCAAATCAAATGTATTTCCATTAACTCCATAGTTCCATGCAAGGAGTGAAAGACATGAGAGCCCACTTTTTAAATAATACTAAGTGAAAAAGTAAAAGAACCTGTCTGCACCTGAACCTCTAAATCCTATATCCACAAAGGCAAATGTCTCCCAACTCTCATTCGAATGGATGTCATGTTTGCCTTTCATTTACTCTACAATTTTTTTTTATTTTGCCCCATATATCAGCATTAGGTTGTTGAGTCCCCACTCCTCCTGTGTTTTCTCTCTTGAGCAAAAAAGCATGTTCTTCTTCAGGATCTCCTGAGAAGCCTGTATCCTCGTAGCCTGAGCTGAGGAATCACACCACATCAACTGTTCACATGGTTACTGCACTATACAGATTTCATGTCATCAGCCAGAAAGACAAATAATCCAATAATGTGGACAATGAAAATTAATTCGGAAGGAACAAGTTGTGAAATGAAGTTTAGTTGGCTTGTAAAGTCACAGCTGACCCCTTAGACCAAGCAGTGTGGGGAAGCCTGAAGGTCACTCAGACTGCAACCAGAATTCACATAGGTGACTCTATAGCTGCCTTTCAGGTTTGAGCTAAGTCTGCCTATGGAATCCCTGCCCCTCAGTGTGCTACTTGAAGAGCACTGGATATTCACAGTAATTTTAAAGGCCAGAGCAGAGCTATATTAGAAAAATTGATTTTAAACAGCACTGGAATTATACTGAACTCTGTTTCAGCTTGTTACTTTTTCTTCCAAGAATATGATTTAAAAATTTGCTTGAGATTAACATTTTCTTGTTAAAACATCTCAAAGCAAGACAAAATAGGCTTTGCCTTTTTACATCCTCATGTTTTCTGCCAACCATAAACTTTACTTAATGTGCACACTTCTTTATATAAATATAAACTTTAATCTGTTATTTTTAAAACACAAAAATTGTACAGTAAGTATAATTTATACGTGATTTCCATTTTACTGTTTTATAAAAATAATAAAGAACATTATAAAATGACAGAATATGGTAGTATAATAATAGCTATGGCTAAAAAGATAAAATTATAAACATCTGTAGGAATATATTCTGTCTTTAAGGTTTACAGTTTATCTACTCATTGGCACTGCCTTAAAAAACAAAAGGAAACAAACCTTTTAGTGCTCTGTCTGTTTAATAAATGACTTCTATTTTGTGGTTAAAGATGTTATAATAATGATCAAAAGAGAATTTAGCTACTATCTTAGTTAGGGTTTCTACTGCTGTGATGAAACAGTATGACCGTAAAGCAAGTTGGGGAAGAAAGGGTTTTATTCAGATTATACTTCCACATTGCTGTTCATCACCAAAGGAAGTCAGAACAGGAACTCAAGCAGGGCAGGATCCTGGGGCCAAAAGCTGCTTACTGGCATGCTTGCCCTAGCTTGCTCAGCCTGCTTTCCTATAGATCTCAGGACCAGCAGCCCAGGGGTGGCACCACACACAATGGGCTGGGCTCTCCCCCATTGATCACTAATTGAGAAAACACCTTACAGCTGGATCCGATGGAGGCATTTCCTCAACTAGGCTCCTTCTTCTCTGATGACTCTAGCTTTGTGTCAAGTTGACACATTAAACGAGCCACTGTACCTCCCAATCAATAGATACAGTAGAATTCAAATTGACTTGTGTTTATCCCAATGTGTCAGTCTTGCCCATTTGGAAAGTAGACTTCCATCTGAAGGCTTCTTCTTTTCAAAGCCTTTCTCCTTCTCCACTCCTGTCTATGCAGCTGACTCAGTTTCTATGTTGTAATCTACTCATATGTCATAGCCTATTAAAAACTTCCAAGCAACAACATCTCCCTCCATGGCCCCATGTATTTCTGGCTATATCTCAGTGGCAAACACTAAGCAATTTACCAAAATTTACCATGGGTACCTACTTCTAGCTCCATGTTTTAAATTCTTTAAAATCATAGGCAGGGTTGTCTCATTCCTCATATAATTCAATGGCATATATTCAACAAACAATTTTTAATTCACAAAATATGAACTTAATGATGTCCGAATTAATTTTAATAATTAGATTTATGTATTAGTTTAGTTGCTAAAAGTAAAATTTCAATAATAAATCTATATATACAATAATAAAGTAAGAATTTTAAGTAAAAATATTCATAAAATATCCTGGCACTATTATTATATCAAATATATACAAATATACAAACACCACTTATTTTTAAATTTTTAAAAATTTATTTGTAATTTTTATGTGTAAGAGTCTTTTGTCTACATGTATATATATGTACTACATGTGTGCAGTGTCCTTGAAGGCCAAAATAAGGTGTTGGATCCCCTAGAACTAGAGTTATAGATGGGTATGAGCTGCCAAGTGGGTGCTCAGAAGCAAACCCAGGTCTTCTGCAGTCACAGACAGTCTCTACCTGTTGAGTCAATTCTGCAGCCCCAAGTTTATTTTGAAACAACTTCAAGGATGGTCTTTCAGTAAGTCTAATGAAATGTATTCTTCTATCCCTGCCACATAATGGGTAATATTGCCAACTGAAACACTACAATGAGGTCAAAATACCAAACTTTAAATATTTTCTACATTTATCCTAAATCTGACTGTGAGATTTTCTTTTCCTTGGATTTGGTAAATAGAAAAGTTACCACCAAAGTTTCTTGGTTTACATTCCTGCTGAAGAAGCTTGTGGAGTGAATCTTGGGGGAACTTAAACAGTGGTCGGGAAAAGTGTAGGCTGTAGGAGAGTCTCCTGCTGCTTTGTGTAAACATTAATAATGGAAGCATTTCCTGAGCAGGTATGAGGCACCTGTAATGTGTGTTTTATATCCAGCACAATAAACCACCAACTCTCCCTCTATTCTCAAGCATTTGTCCCTGTAATTGAAATTTTGGTCTTATATTAAATAATACTAGTCATTAATTAAGCAATTTATTTATATTAAAATGGGGAGGAATGGTGCTTACTATCACCTCTTTTTGACAATACATTTATTCGTAGCTAGACTAAATATGACAGCATATTTGATATTATAAGCTGTAGAATGGCAGTACATATTGCCTACACCCACATCACTGTGTCCTTGCTGCCTAACAGTGTCTCTCATAGTGTCTTGTGAAACACTAGATTCATTTGATATGGTAAATATTAAAAGGAAGTTTCAATAGTGAATGTTTCAAGATTCCTGGATTATACTATATTATGTATATATATTTACCATGAGACATCACAAATTCTTTAATAGTCTAAAGGGAAAATTTTTTCAACATTATAAAAATCTTTCAACACTGTTTCCATTCAACATGTGGAAACAAAAGCTGGCTGACTACTACTTTTTAGAAAATATTTGAAAAATATTAGCTATTGCATAAATACCCCTTCCCTCCTGTCCCCCTCCCTACCTCCTACTTTCCCTCCCTGCCTCCCTTCCTTCCCCACTCTCTTGCTCAACCAGTTCCCACTCTTTTTTCACACACAGCATAAAAACTCATGTTCTACATCCTGTTATTCAGAAGGACATTAAACATTTCCAAACTTGTCAACAGAGAGCCCTGACGCCTGTCCCCACAGAAGACTCTGAACCTTGACACTTGCTAACTATACTGTAGACATGGCTTCTTCCTCAACTATCAAAACTTCAACTCCATTACTCTGGGGTGGGCCTCTTCATGACACTCACTACCTGTCGAATTTCTGTGTGTTATTGCATTCATGCTTAAGTTTACCTTTCTTTCAGCCTCCAGAAACCAAGCAGCCTATTTATTTGTCTGCACTTTCTATGGGCCAGCAGCAGAGAGAAGGTGTCAGCACTGTGAGCTTTGAGCCTGTGTTCCTGGGATTTGATTTTACTTTTTCATTATCAAAACCTTGTGCTAAAAGGAATGAAGCTCTTTTCTTCCCTGACTGACAAAAGTTGCTCAGGAAAGGGCCACTGGAAGACACAAGTTGCCCCTGTGTGATGTAGCGTATTTGAGGTCTTTTGTAGGAGAGAAAATTTAAACAAGGGAAAGATATGATTCTAGCAGAAAAATCACACAGAAATAAAGAAAACTCAAAAGTCTGAATAAAGGCCTGACTCTGGCATTTGCATATTTCCCATACTGAAGTAAGAGTAACATTTTCCCTGTCCCTATTTAACAGGTTGATGATGGGAACTTGCTATGTTGTACAGTTTTATCATGGCCAAGACTTCCTGATCATTACTAATTACATTCCTGACTGGTTTCTTCTCACTTTAGGAAGTCTGATACATGATAAATGTACATTAGAATGTTTGGCTGCAGTCAAGCTATCTATAGAAGCTTGATCATACATGTTTTCTCCTTTGTTTTCCAACTCTTCCCATCGTCTTCACACCATCATTACATCATCTTTGTCATTTTTGTTCTTTATTGTAAGTCTTATTTTAGAATAAAATTCTTTCTGCAATTATGCAAACTGCCCATAAATACATTAAAAACTTAAAAAACAATAGTATACTCCTAAGGATATTTTCTAAAATGAACACTTATCACAGAGGAAATGTTATAATCAGCATAAGTTATGGTCCAAATACCAAACACTAGAGAAATGTTTATATAAAACATTTGAAGAGTTGAGTAGTGGTGGCACACCTTTAATCTAAGCATTTAGGACGAAAAGGCAGGTGGAGCCTGTGAGTTCCAGGTCAGCCTGATCTACAGAGTGAGTTCCAAGACAACCAACACTGTTACATAGAGAAACCCTGTCTTGGAAAACCAAAAAGAAAATTGAAGAAACAATAACACTATTATATTTTATTTACTTAGCTGTTTGTTTGTGTTTTTTTTGTTTTGTTTTTAGCCAAATACCCAAGTACCAAACGTAAGTCTTAGACATTTGGGTTATAAATTTTAATCAAATCTTTCTTTTTAAAAATACTTCCTCTGAGCGAGGTAACCCAGTCACAAAAAAAACAAACAAGGTATGTACTCACAAGGCTGCCAGAGAGGCTGGTAAACTAGGAGGACCCTAAGAGAGACATACATCATCCCTTGGAGAAGGGGAAAGGGACAAGTCTCCTGGGCAAATTGGAAGCATGGGAGGAGAGGAGAGGGAGCTAGGAGAATGAGAAAGGGAGAAGAGGAGGGTTGAGGAGGACATGGGGAAACAGGAAGATTGGGTGTGGGGGGAGAATAGAGGAGAGCAAGATAAGACATACCATCATAGAGGGAGCCATTATAGGTTTAAAGAGAAACCAGGCACTAGGGAAATGTACAGATCTACAAGGATGACACCAACTAACCATCTAAGCGACAGTGGAGAGGCTACCTTAAATGCCCTCTCCTGATAATGAGATTGATGACTAACTTATATGCCACCCTAGAGCCTTCATCCAGCAGGTGATGGAAGTAGAAGCAGACACCCACAGCTAAACACTGAACTAAACTGGAATCCAATTGCAGAGAAGGAGTGATAAGCAAAGGGGTCCAGACCAGGCTGGTGAAACTCACAGAAACAGCTGACCTGAACAGGTGATCACATGAAAACCAGCACGGAACTGATCCAGAGCCCATGAATGTGGGTGTCAGTGAGGAGTCCTCGGAAATCTATGGGGTCTCTTGTAGTAGATCAGTACTTATCCTTAGCTTAGGAATGGACTTTGGGAACCCATTTCAGATATTCCCTCAGCCTAGACACATGGGGAGGCCCTATCCCAAAGTATATGACAGACCCCACGGAAAACCTCACCCTCCCTGGGTTCAAAAAAGGTATGGGATAGGTAGGGTGTTAGTGGGGGGCAGGGAAGGAGGGGAGGGGAGGAAACTGGGAATGACATGTAAAACAATATTTTTTTCTAATTGAAATAAAAAATGGAGGAAAAAATACTTCATAAACAATAAGCTTTAAACAAGAACAACATTCGAGGCACATAGGTGCATGCCTATAATCCCAGTAATTAGAAGGTTGAAGCAGAAGCCAGACTGACCTACATAGCAAAACTCAGACTCAACAAACAAAACTAAATAAAAAATAGATATGTAAATAATAAACTGACCAGTGTTCATCCATTTTGGTATCACCCCTGGATAAAAGCCAATGAAGCTTACCTGTGGTCACTCCATGAACCACTCCCTCCTTAGTTTTGGAACCTAAAAACAAAGAAATTGAATGTGTAAGTCTTAAACTGTCCTTGGATTTCCAGTCAGCCAATTAAAACTTATCAATATTTAGAAGTTCATGTATAAAGATAACATCAAAAGACAAGTAAAACCAAACACACACAAAACCCACTAAACCGAGGAGATCCAGCCACCAGAACCGATGAAAGCTAGCAGAAGCCTCTCTGGGTAAGTTCAGGAGGGAAGGCTGCATAATTAATGGGCAGCAAATAGAGTTAGTCAGCAGTATGACACTCCTGTGCTATTCCAGTGGGGTGACTATAGACAGAAACTGGGCACTATATAACAGAAAAGCTACAAAAGAGTTTAAAAGTGCTTGTCATAAAGATCTGACAGGTATTTTGTTTGTTTTTTTTGAGACAGGGTTTCTCTGCATAGCTCCAGCTGTCCTGAAACTCACTGTGTAGACCAGGTTGGCCTTGAACTTAGAGATCTACCTGCCTCTGCCTCCCTAGCGCTTGGATTAAAGGTGTGTTCCATCATGGCCAGCAAGTTCTGACAAGTATTTGAGGAGACAAAGATCTGTAATCTAACCACACAGGTGAATATGGGAACATCACAAGGGGCCTCACTGACAGGTAAACATTGTGTGCCTCTGTGTATCAGATAAATGTAAACTTAGTTTTCAAAAAAGGAAACAAAGATTTTTCAGGAAGCCTAATGACATATCTAACCCCTGCTTGATACTTTATATGCGAACTTACAAGAGGGGAAACATGATATAATAATGAGGCTTAGGAAGAATGTGTGCAAACTAGCAGATGCTACAAAAGCACTGCAAGCAAGCAGAGGAAAGGAGGTGCCAATGTCTGCCCAAACTCATGTCCAGGTTCACCTCACCTAATCTCTGAAGTAGCCATTCAATGTCTATTTCATGCATAAGGAAGTTAAAAATCATAATTACGTGGTCTGTCTACCATTAAGTAACAGCATGTTATGGGCACGATCAAATAATGTCTGTATGTAAGATAAGAATCTCATGGATGCCTTAGTCACTACTAAACAAATAATTACTGCACATATTACTAAAAGTAAGTTGTAAAGCATTTTAATCATAACCTCTCTAATGATGAAGGCTTTTTTCAGTATAATTCACACCTTTCAGATTACATGGCTTTGGGAGATTTGAGGTTCATTTGAAAAACTCTGTTTCAAATGAGTTTTGAAACTCATTTTCAAAACCAGAGTCTCTTCTATTCATCCACTGGCAAGTAACTGGCTAATTCCATAATGTGGTAGGGTTGAGTGGTCAAATGAGCATGGGTATGCAGTATATCATTTTTGCATGCTGATTCTAGTACTTACACAGAAGTGGCATGGCTGGAAACTCTATTTATAATTTTTGAGCATTCTCCCTGCACTGCATTTCATAATTGAGTTTTACTCAGCCATAATGAAGAATAAAATGATTATATGTGTAAGAAAATGGATGGGTCATTATGTTAAGTGAAATGAGCCAACTCACAAAGATGAATATGGCATCATTTTTCTCTCTTATGTGCAATATTTTAACAGAGCACTACTAAAGACGTGGAGAGGAAGAGGAAGGGAGAGGAAAATAATAGAGATGTTATCATGATCAAAGTGAACACAAGCACTGTGAACAATCATGTTGTATATACTTATATTAAAATGTCCTTGTGGAACAGTACAGTGAAAAATTAGTATGCACAATGAAAATAATGCAGCAGTAATATCAAAGGAATAGGAAAAGGATTGTCTCTACAAACAAAAAAACTGAACAATACAAGGGTGTATATAATCCCTGTATAATAAATGCGTGTGTGGGAAAATCATAATGAAACCTCTCACTTTGTGCAATTAATATCCACAATTTTATATATACATATGTAATATATATATATACATATATATATATATATATATATATATATAATACAAATTTTAGGTGTACGTTATCCTATAGGACTGAAGACATAGTTCTTGGTACAGTGATGTATTCAGATGTCCAAGGCCCTGGATTTGATCCCCAATATTAACAAGAAAACAAAGAAGAAAGAAACAAGGAAAGAAAAGAACATTAACATAATTCAATTCTATTTAGGCAGAGAAGAATGTGAATGATAAAAGAAAACAAGGGCATATAAACTGAAAAAGATTTTGTATGGGAAGAAATTTAACAATCTGTATTTTTAAAACTCACTATTTAGAAAAAATTCCTGCTAGGTATACAGGAAATAAGTAGAAAATAATAGAACAAAACCATATTGTGGTAGAATACTATTTTAAGGTGTAAGACTTTTATTTATGCTGCATTTGTTTAACTCTGTGAAGCTATGATTCTTTGTCTGTCTAAAACATTTGATGTTCCTAATAAAGAGCTGAACAGCCAATAGAGAGGCAGGAGCAAGGATAGATAGGACTGGCAGGCAGAATATAAATAGGAGAAACAAGGAAGGAGAGAGGAGAATCAAGAGAACAAGGAAAGGAGGACATCAGGGGCCAGCCACCCAGACAGCCATGGAGTAAGAAGGAAAGTAAGATATACAGAAGTAAGAAAGATAAAAGTCCAGAGGGAAAAGGTACATGGGTTAATTTAGGATAACAAAAGCTGGCAAAAACAGCATGCCAAGCTAAGGCCAGGTGTACATAAGTAATAATAAGACTATGTGTGGGGTTTATTTGGGAGCTGGGTGGATGGCCCCTCAAAACACAAAAAGAATAAAACATTACGTAACACCATATCATATACATAGCTTCCTAGAAGCCAAGTACACAGCAAATAAAAAGTATGATATTGACAATTGTAATGAACTTTGTGATTCACTGTGCAATAATTAAGTCACAAATCAAATTCTTCTGTTTTGTGCTAAACACTATGACCAAATGCAACATGTGGAAAAGAGGGTATATCTCAGCTTGCAGTTTAGAAGTGCATCATCCAGTGGGAGCTGAAGCGTGGCAGGAACCTGGAGGCAGGAGCTGATGCAGAAGCCTTGGGTGAACACTGCCCAGGGATGGCACCACTCACAATGGACTGGGCCCTCCTGCATCAGTTAGCAATCAAGAAAACACCCTCGCCGACATTCCCACAGGTCATTCTAATGGAGCCAATTCCTCAGGTGATATTTCCTCTTCCTAGGTATCTCTATTTCTTGTCATATATGAGGTGATTTCTAATTACAAAATCAGATATGCATTTCTACATCTGTATAATGCCATCAATACGATGATCTAAGTACATGTACAGAAATAGGTTAAAGCATTTGGAAATGGCTTTTGGACTTGCATAAATATAGCCTTAAGTGAAAATTTGTATGTATTATAATTACATTTATATTTTTTAAAGGAGTCCATTCAACTCCCTACTTAAAAAAAGAAAAGCATATGTAGGAACTTTTATTTTGAAAGTAAAGACCTCCCCAGTACAGAGTCCAGGTTTCAACTTTAATTTCACTAATGATAACCAAATCTAAATCATTATCTTAGTGAAAGGATCTAAAGAAATAGTTCAAGTAAGGCGCCCAGTGCTGTGTCTAATGCATGGTGCAGACTGGTGAGAGCTCTGGTTCCTACACCCACAACACTTATGAAGGAAGAGCTGAAGCTGAAAGCACAAGACAGATCACCACACTAGAAGCAGCACAGAGTGAAGGGCATTCTAGCTGGCATGAATGGGCATGCTCCAGTGTTTTACATATGTCTTTCACAGGCACTGCTCATTCTGCAAGGTACTCTAGAGCAGGTACAGTGTGCATGACCTAATAATGAATGTGTAAACTGTAAGCAGGGGAAGGCTCAGGGCTATTATTCAAATTATTAAACATTCTAGTCATTTGCAAGTATGTTTGGAAATGATAAAATATTAAAAGGAATGCTTATCTTACATTTTGTAAATTATTTTTTCCTAAAACAACATATTAATTAGTTTCAACAGTGCTTGCCTTCTCATTGCATATGCCTTATGGGGTAGGTTTCTTTGTCATGCTGTATAGAATTGTGCAGATTAGAATCCACAATGGTGGAGGGAGAACGGAGCAGCAGGAACAACTGAGAGATTGCATCTTGATCCCAAATCAGTAGACCAAAAGCACACTAAATGATGGCTGGCTTTTGAAGCTTCATAACCTGGCCCTGTGACATATGTTCAATAAGGCCACAACTCATAATCTTTCCCAAACAATTTTGCTAGCTGGGACCACACTCATGAACTTCTGGGCAGTATTCTCATTAAAACCGCCACACCTCTTCATGTCATGACCTGTCCCTGATTGTGCCTTTAGTAAGGGTTTGAGATGTCATTGCTTCCCCGGATGCAATGGCTTCTGACATATCAAATCTTCATTGTATGCTTATACATTCACCTCCAGATATTTAACCGCATGTATACTATCTAGGATTACAGTAAAGACCACGTCTGCTCTCCTCTGTGTCAAATTGGCAAACCCTAACCAGAATATGAGGTAATTGCTAATTCCAAACTTGTTTAAAATTCAGTTGTGCATTTCTATAATCTTACTAGTCAACTGTCTCATCTATAAAGTAATACTCCCAGCATTTTTTCACATTAGAGCCTTGATGTGCCTTCACCTCAGCTGGTCAGTTTTCTCTTTCTGGAATGCATTTCTGTAAAATATCACCCAGATTCATCTCCAGTAGACAAGAGACAACACACCCACAGGTGTTGCTGTTTGTGAGAATTGTGTAACAGATGGAAATTCCAAAAGAAGTGATTTAACTTAGTCACCAATTATAATGGGCTTTGGTTATTTGTGTGATGATTTTGAGGGTGAAGAGCTAGCAGCAAAGTTGGTACCTTCCATAATTGCTCTTAATTTATGCACTGCAGTAACAGATATTTAAACTGTGTTGTTTGGGATGGGTGCTATTAAAGTCACAACTGTGAATTTGAATATGCTGCACAACAAGTAGTTGAGCAGCTTGTGTGAGAGAGTGTTTCTCTTCTGTATCCTTCCCCTTCATTCTCTACAACCTTTCAGACCATGACTAATAGAAAGAAATGCTCACTGCCAGTCCCTGGTCTGTCTTCTCTGCATCAGCAGGAGGGACAATTTGACATCCGATAAATCATGGACTGCCTTTTTAATGAAAGACTAATGGCAGTCTTGATAAAGCTGTTGCATCTTAAAACAGTACCTCATCTTTGTTTTCATAATTATCAATTCAGTTATAAATGATAAGTTACCTTCAGTTTACATGTGAAATCTAAGTGATAATATATAGCTAAAAAGTAGAGGTCAAATGGCAAATAAGAAGCAAGATATAAAAGCTGCTCTGAGCTGAGTTGCCCTGCCCCCAACCCTGTCTTGTTTTTTGGGGGATATAACTAGGGTGAAGACTGGAAAGGGCTTGATAACCCCACTATAATATTGTTTCATATGTTGACTGTCTAACCAAATATAATAATTCTCAAAAATATAATTAAGTCAGTGTAAGACTTAAGAGCTGGTGTCACCACAGCTGCTCACCAAGCAGTGAAACCGAATTTGGCAGTGATTTTCTTCCACTTAATACTATAAAACTAACATTATGTGAAGAAAAAAATTGAGAATAATATTGATTTGTAATTATATGTCATGCCATTGGCACATGTTTCTGCAACTAAACTATATTAATTGAAAATTTTATGCAAATATCACAAAGAAAAACAGCACATTGATTACTGTGGCAGTTCTTCAGTTACTTAAAAGGCAGTTGTCCAAAGCATTTGTTATAAAAGAATGAGGTGAGGCTTCTGCCAAACATTTCAGACATAGGTGAAATTTAAAATTTTTCTTTAATTGCTTTTAATACTTCTTAAATCTTTTGATTTCTGATACAGAGATCGAGACCAGTGCTGCATGCACACAGACAACCACCGTGCCACTGAGACAAATTGTAGCCCAGATTATTTCTAATCCTTCAGGCTAATTATTGATGATAGTTTTATATATTTGGTGAAAAATAAGAGGAAATCATGTTGAGTGGAATAGCTTATTTAATAAAAATCAAGTTTCCTAAATATGAAAGTGCACTTGGTTACACATTTCCACAAAAGCTCTGCAAAGGAATTGTACTTTTATGAACTACATTATTTGTGGAAAAGGGAAGGAAATTCAAAGACATTAACTTCCTCAAGATCCTAAAGGTAGAAGTGATGTAGCTTGTATTAAATTTATGTTTGTTTGATAAGTTATAGCCCAATTCCCTTTCACTTTTTTCTAGCCTATAAGTTAACCCCAGCTTCTTGTTTTGATAAATAAAAACTGAAACAGCACCACACTGGTTATTGCCCATGGTTGCTTTCACACTTTAACAGTAGACCTGATTATCTGAGACAGATTGGCCGAAATAAGTTTGAAAATTAACAAAAGTTGACCAAAATCTTAACTTAATTCTTACCTTTAGACCTCACTTTTCATAGTAAATTCTATGCATGTGTTTGGCTTTTTTTTGTTTGTTTGATTGGTTGGTTTTGTTGAGACAGGGTTTCTCTGTATTGCTTTGGAGCCTGTCCTTGAACTCTGTAGACCAGGCTGGCCTCAAACTCACAAAGATCCACCTGTCTCTGCCTCCCCAGTGCTGGAATTAAAGGCATGTGCCACCACCACCCACGTTCAGCTTTTAATTAGACTCCAGAACATAACCAGCAATTGATTAATTATATATGTATTAAATATAACAACATTGATAATTTTAGTAACATTAGACTTATTGAAACATTATGCTTTTTACATAATTGCCTCGCAGTGAACAACAAAATTAATCTTTGAAAAATCTAATCACTTTATTTGCCTAAACTCACAATTAACAATAAAACATGAAAGTGTTCTACTTGATAAGATCTGTTTATTAACTAGAAAGAATAATAAATTAATATTCAGTAACTTCTACATTTGCTTAAAATTAATGCTCTAGCTGGAAGGTGGTGACACATGCCTTTAATCCCAGTACCAGGAGGCAGAGGCAGGTGGATTTCAGTGAGTTCAAGGCCAGACTAGTCTAAATAGTGAGTTTCAGGACAGCCAGAACCATAAGAGAAACCCTGTCTCAAAAAAAAAAAAAAAATTAAAAAAGAAAATTAGGTGACTAGTTGTCTAAAAAGAAGAAAGATAACATTCACTAAGTAACTAATTAAAAAATGTAGTCATGGGTCTATAGTTGCAGGATGTGGGAGACTTTGAGGCCCTGAAAAATCTACAAATAACTGATTTTATATTCTGGATTCTATCAAAAACATTGACCTCACTGTTCCCAAAAGAAGCACTTGACTCACACCTTTCTCTTTTAATATTCATTTCAAGACTTTCTGAAAGGTTGTTTTGAGGTGGAAAGGGAGTCAACATAAAAACAATCTATGAGGAATGAGCAAAGGTGATATGCTAGAAACTTTGAAAGTTCATGAAAGGTTTTTTCCCACTAATCAGTTAGAGCTGGAGCGCCAGCACAGCTTCCCACTTTTGGTAAGTCTCAGTCTCAGTGTGTGGCCTCTCTGTCACCTCTGCCACTTGTCTGTTCCATTTCCATCTTAAGGTTGACCCTTTGCCTTCTACTGAGATAGAGGCCCCCTAAGAAGGTAGGGAAGCTCAGAGAAGCACAGAGGGGGCAGGTGAGTCATGCATCCTTGCTCCCTTGTGCACCTGGGTCTCTGCTGGAGATGAATGTGCATGCATACATATATGTCTTTTCCCTCCATCAAAGTACTGGAAGTGCAACCAGTTTAACACAGGGAAAGCCAGTAAACAGTGTTGACCTCTGTCTCAAGGTTTACACTTAGGCACAAAAGGCACCGAGTATCAACCTCTTGCTCTTTCCTGTGTGCATCATCCAGGTGATTACACAAACACATCTGAGGTTCCTTGAGCTTCATCTCAAAAGGGAGATCCACTAAGAACAACTTGCCTTTTTTTTTTTTCTATTGGGGGACCAAAGTAGGTGTATTTTCACAGATATTAAATACAATCATACTACAGTTTTATTTTTAAAATTGCAATTAACAAGTATTATCTATGGTGATGATGAAAGAAGCCAAAGTCCCGTGAGGGCCTGGGACTCCTCTTGTTTTGTTTTGTTTTGTTTTGTTTTGTTTTGTGATGGGATTTCATGTAGACTGGACTGACCCTGAACTCACTATGTAGCTAAAGATGATCTTCAACTCCTGACCCTTGGGCCTCCATGTCCCAAATGTTGGGATTCCACATGCCACCATCCTGCTGCTGTAAATGGGTCTGATTCATAAGCATATTCTTAGTTATTTTTCATGGGTTGCCAGTTTTAAAAATCCCAATGTGCACACACACACACACACACACACACACACACACACACACACAGAAACATGGAAAACCCTAAGTAAGCAATAAAATTAAGTATTCTAAGGAAAGAAAACATTGTTCCCATTTGTTTCTGAGAGCTAACAAGCAGATTCACAATTCTCTCACCTCCACATACCTGTCACTCTCCTGAGAAGCAGCTATGTGCATGAATCAGACACCACATGCCAGCACTGAGTGATTAGCCACTCCAACTCATCAGTCACGGCACCACTACCTACCTACATAGAGGACTCCCTCTTTTGTCTTTCCTGCTGCTTCTGCCACACCCTGCTTGGTTTTTTCAGCAGCAGCCACAACTCCTTCCTTGGCCTTGGAAAGTCCTTTCATGAACACATCCATGGCGAAAGATGTCTTTTCCTCCACTCTAGAGAATACACAATACACTTTGAATTAAAAATTTGAGTAAAAGAAAACAAGATTAAAGCAGCTAGAATGGGAAGAATTTTTTTAAAAATCAAGGAAGAAATCACTGAAAAATCAGTAGAGACCCCCCCTCCCCAATCTCTGTGTAAATGAACACTCGTTTTTTTTGTTTGTTTGTTTGTTTGTTTGTTTGCTTGCTTGCTTGCTTGTTTTGAGGACTGGGCATGGTGTTGCTTGTCAGCTTTTTCACTCAAATCTAGGAAGAGTCAAGCCACTTAAAGATGGGATGGATCCAGATGGATCACCTGGCCATTCTTACAGCAGCTGGAAAATGGAGTTACATGGCAAGATGGGTGGACTCTACCCCATCAAGTTCCCAGGGCCTAAAGGCGACATTCTAAGTAAAAAGCTTGTCTAGAAAACCAATGGAAGGGGGTACTGAAGTCGGGGGCAAGGGTAAAAGGACTCAGAAAGGGGTTAGTAAGTGTTTAGTCTTAGGAGAGGGGAAGGAAGGGAACTGCTTACTTCAAGATGAAGGGAACAGCACGCCAACTGTCATCAGCCCAGCTGTTCAAATCTAACAAGACCTTCCACCCACTGCTAGCTCTCCAGTCTGTTATCTGCCCGGAGCAGGCGCTGTCCACACACTTGAGCCGGCTCACTTCAGCTCTACCCAACCTGGGGGCCCTGTCCTCAACTGGAATCTGCTTGAAAACCCTGCACCCCCGTGCTCATTAACCCCTTATCACCTGTTGCCAAGTGCCTTAGGCACTTTTATTAATCACTGGCCAAATGTAGCCTCCTTACACTCCAGATAAGAGATAGAACGTGCCCGGGGTGGGGGATGAAAGTTGGATGCTCAGGTTTCTCCCAACGCCCAGCGCTCAGCTTCCAGGACCCAGCACCCAACACGAAACACCCTGGCGTTTCCGCTCGAAAAAGCAGATGCCACGAACAGCCTGGTTTCCCCTCGGGCTTTGGGAGAATGGAAGAGCACGTCTCTAGCGCGAGGAAAGCCAAGTAATGTACTTTCAATGCACTGGCCGTGTCCCCACCGCTGAGGTAGCCTCAGCTGGAGATCTCCCAGGCATCGGGACTCCTCTTAGCCAGGGTTCTCCGGGATCCCCAGAGCTGCTGCTATCTACAGGTACTTACCGGCGCCCTTGGCTTCGCAGAATTCAGATTCCTCCTCTCTGCCCCTGATCTTATTTCAGTGGCAGTGGAAAGGAAGGCTCTGGGCGGAGGGGCAGGGGCAGCACCTGCTGGTCTCCTGCCGTCTGCTGCTAGGCGCTCTGGCTCCCCGGCTCCTCCACGTCGCCCCCGCAGCTGATTTGTCAGCGCCTCTCCCCGCCCCTCGCCTGCCTCGTGCCTTCGTCCCTTTCCTGGGGAGGGATGGGATGGAGATGCGTGAGGGCTGCGGGTTCCAGAAGCACGCTCCCCAGGAGGAGGGAAGACAGGGTGGCCTGAGAGTCACCCCGAGTTCAGGGACCCCGGGCTCTATAGAGGTTGAACTTAGGCTGATGTCTTTCCTGCCCATCCCCCACCCCATCCCTGCCTCCGCCTGTTCCAGGTTTCTCTGGGCGACCCCTCCTCCGAGATGAGCTGGGACGCTGTCTGGACCGCCTGAGACTGCCTGTGTGCTGAGCCAGGCCCTGGGAAGGGAGAACACACCCTTTTGTATGCTTTTGTTCATACAGTATGAGATTTCCACTTCCCTTAAGCCTAAAAGGGTTCTGAGTGTGAAGAGGAGCCGACTAAGGAAGAGTTACAGGTCGAAAAGGCAAGGGGAGTCTCAGCAAATCCTCTTTACCACTCCACTATCACCATTTTCTTTTCCACCAATCAGCAGCTGCCAGGCGCCGGTTTCCCCCCACCCCCCATCTGTGGAGCAAGGAATAAATATCCCCCAACCGTCGAAAACCAGCTACCCCGAGCTGTTTTCGCTCCTGAAATGTGGCTTACTGTGAAGAGAACCGCATACAGACTGGGGAGATTAACGCCTGTGGGATTCACCCACTGGGACCATCAGAGGCAGTTTCTCCCTCCGCCCCCACTGAAAGGTGGATTTTGCACACCTCTTACCTTTCCGACTTCTGACTGCCTGGTGCTCCAGATGACAAACCCTTCTTCTAGCCCCAGCACGCACGCAGATGCAGGCTTCGAGACAAATTTGGGCTGCTTAACACTTCTCCACTTCTTTCTGAGCTGAGCAGAATACCCTTCCTTGTTCCTATAGCTGACTAGGTTGGAGAGCAAAGCTCCTCCCCCAGTGGAACGCTTTCACCTTCTTGTGTTTTGAACTTGTGTTGGGCACTGGAAGAAAAATCAAGCTTTTGCTGAATTAAAAGAGGAAAAAAAATGTTGTCGGAGGATAAATGTGTTCTCTAATCTTTGCATTCATTTGATTTCTGAATTCTGAGTAATAACTAAATAATAAAGTTGAAATCTAAAAACAATTGAGTTAAGGGGCAAGCAACTAATTGTACGAGCTATATGGAGAGGAGGTAGGCAGAACCATATAAGCTGAGTAGAAGCAATGTGACCAAAATTTATTGCGTAAGCACCTTCATGCATTCTTGGTGTTCCTTTAAAAAATCAACCTTCCCAGACAGTAGTAGCAAATATTGTGCTTACTTGAAATTAGAGGAAGACTGAGGTGTTCCTGAAGTAGAGAAGGTCAGATCCTGAGCTCTGGTATTCCCAAGGAAGTAGGTTAAGACACCTGTCCTCAACAATTTGGGGGGGGGGCGTGTTAGTCGATGTCTCTACACTGAGAAGAGGAACTAAGAGGTCTAGTGCCCCAAATTCATCTTTGGGGACATGATATGAGGTTCAGGTCTAAATAAATGGCAGGAGGTTTGTATAATTAAGCAGTACTGGTCAAACTGTGGTCCCAGCCATCATCATTGTCCATGCTCCAGACTCTGTCCTGCTATCCCTATCAGGCACAGAGCTTCAGCCTTTTCCTTCCCAGCAAATTATTTTTCAATTACAATTTCTTGGGATCTGTTGTCCAATAGTCTGAAGCCAGATGAAAGGACACAAATGTCTCTTTAGGGTAATGTCTTAACAGCCCTGTTTTGGTTGAACCTAGGAGCCGGTTCTTGGAACTTGACAAAGTAATGTTCTGTTTTTCCTCAATTTTCTTTTATAAAAGGGGAAATTAATTGTGATGATGCCTTTCCTCTGGAATTTTGTTATGTAAAATATTTAAACATATATACAGTGGTGAGAATAAGATTTCCACATGAATATCAACAGCTTCTACAATTTTTCAAAGCATGATTTTGTGTCATAAGTGTGGCTACTTTGTCACTGACAGTTCTCCATAATAAGGTTTAAGGTTTACACATTTTTCCATCTGTGAACATTCCAGAACATATTCAGAGATGTGAGTACAATTGAAATACCCTCAATAACATCACATGATATTCTATATTGAAATATATTTTATACAGTGAACTGCCCAGATTTTAATTGTCTCCCAGTTTTGAGAAATACATGGGATAGTGTAACTCACACCATTTTGGAGACTATTTTATCACCTAGAACTTCATTTGTACCCTTCTTAGGGAAATATGCAAAACTAAGCATGTATGGTCAAGGTGTACTTCCTGCCTTAAGCATTATCCGGCTCCAGTATCTCCAGTTACATGGTCTGACTTGTGTGAAATCTGAAAAGAGAAAAGGAAAATTGTAAAATAATTTTCATCATTTTGAACTATGCTTATAATTCTGTTGTACTCTATGCATATCCATGGATTATAACCTTTGTTTATGTCAGTCTGTATAATGTGTTAGTTCACCCATGTTGTTCCATGAATCAGTAGTTTATTGCTTTCTTTTTTTTATTACTGCCAATAATGCATTTCACAGTGAACCATAAAACTCAGCTGGATAGACTACAGTGACAGTTATGTAATATATCTCCTAATATGACATGTTTATAAGTTCACAGGGATCCCCTTAAGCCATGGTGCTTTTGTTTAAAAAACAAATAAAATGATAGATGCTTTTGGATTCAACATCCCACCAATGAGGGAATCACCAGGGTGTCTCTGCTTCCTACCATGTAGCATAATTCCACATCTGTATGTCTGGCAAAAGACCAAGGCACTGTGCTATTTAATCATAACAAGGAGACAAATTTAGCTTTGTGTCACTTTTGTGGACAGGAAAACTGGAGCTGAAACAATACACTGGGCTCAGATCACTTCACTCTTAAGAGTTAGACCTGAGATATTGTAGAGGATTTTCCAGAGCACAAAATCCTCAGTCATTGTAAACCACTCTCCGAATCTGCCCAGATCAAGGATGAAAAGGAAAAAGGTAGGGCCCAGCTGTGTTAGAAATAGCCTTCAAATGTGAATATGACCATGGGAAATCAGGAGCATAGGTTCTAATGAAGGCACAGGAACCTTTGGAGTATCTGTATCAGTGTTCTTTGGTGTTTGGACACTATTTTTTCCCATTTGCACAAGAGAGAGAGAGAGAGAGAGAGAGAGAGAGAGAGAGAGAGATACTAAAATAGTAAAATTATTTTCATCATTTTGAATAATTATTATAGTTCTGTTTCATTCTGTCCACACCTCAAAACACTGTAAGCACAGTGAGCAAGCAGGTTTTTTTTCAACTGCTGATGTTACTGAAAATCCACCTCTGGTTCTTGTCTCTGCATTTATAATGGGGCTGAAGGCCCCTAGAAGAAAGGAAGGAACTGGAAGTTACTGCTGTTTTCTTCTTTTGGTTCACACCCTCAGAAGTAGCAAAGCCTTTTGTTATGGAAATATAACAGGAAACGTGATAAGAATAAGATTGCTATTTTATTGTGAAAGAGTACTTACACCAAAAGCCCACGTTAGCTCAGCAACCTTTGGAGAACCCACTGGAACCCTGAAAGAGAGCTAGAGCCTCCTTCCCAGATCTTTTATTCCATCCTTTCCACATACCTGTGAACACGCCCAAGTGGATGTGGT